CATCGACTCAACCGATCCCTAACCCCGAGAACAATCCCACCATGACCAACCAAGAACGTTATCCGTACAGAATGCCTCAGACGCAACCGGAACCTGTGATACAAGAGGTCCAGCCGAATACTGACCGAGCTCAGCCCGACCTCAAAGATGACTTGCAAGCACTGCGCGAGGAAATGGCAGCCATCCGAAGGCAGAGAGAAGTCGACGCCCTGGAGTTGGCCGAGGTGCGTCGGCAAAATGCCGAGCTCCGAAGCCTGAACCAAACTTACGTGTCGTCAACTCCCACTCTCCAAGAGGAGTCGGCATATCATGCCCCAACTGACCATGTGACCCGAACACCAGTCACCTCATTGACAGGCAACAAGGTCGACACCATCACTCACTCCTTAAGGCATCCTTTCTCTCGAAGGATAATGGAGGCAACCCTGTTGGACCATTGGAAGAGCCTTCCAATCAAGAAATATGATGGGACAACCGACCTCGAGGAGCACTTGAACGTATTCCTTACACAAGCGACCCTCTCAACCCAAGACGACTCGGCCTTGTGCCGAATATTCCCCACGTCGTTGAAAGGGAGGGCTCTGAGAGCTGGTTTACGAGATTGCTGAGCGCTTCCATTGATTCGTTTGGCGAGCTTTCATCCCAATTCACTCTTCAATTCGCGACGAGCAAACCGTATAAGACGACCTCGTTAGCCTTAGCGGGGGTTCGTCAAGAGAAGAAGGAAAGTATGAGAAGTTTCATGGACCGATTCAACAAGATTGCCATGGAGATAGGCGAACTTAACCCGGCCGTGGCGTTGGACCGGCTGAGCACCGCCCTGAGGCCTGGACCATTTGTAAATAGCTTGTGCAAGAAATCGCCAGTTGATATGAACGATCTCCGGCGCCAAGCCGAGAAGTATATGCAAATGGAGGAACTTGCAGAGACCCGAAACCATGCCAGGGTCGAAGAGAATTATAGCCGAAAAGAATCCGGCCGAGAGTCGGTGAGAAAGACGAATGTCGAGCCCTCGAATACTCGCCCCCCGAGAGGACCGCGCTACACAGCATATACTCCCCTCAACTCAAGTAGGGCCAAGGTAATGGAGCAGGCCCTCGCATCAGAGATCCTTACGATGTCGAAAAGAGCGAACACACCCCCTAGAGCAGACAAAGCCAAAACATGCCGATTCCACCGAAACAGGGGGCACTCTACTGAAGAATGTTCGGCGTTGAAAGACAAGCTCGAGGACCTTATCAAACAGGGTCACCTCGGGAACTTCATCACCTCCCAAGACCACCAATCAAGGAGAGATCATCGCTATTGGGAGGCACCACCGCCGAGAGACCGACGTCGCCGATCCCGATCACCTGAAAGGAGGGAAAATTCGGAGCACTCACGGGAAGATACCGACCGACCAAGGAAGGTGATAAACACCATCGCCGGAGGCTTCGCCAGAGGCGGATCCACCTCTTAAGCACGAAAGAGACACCTCCGAGCCGTACGGTCAGTGAACAGTGTGAACCAGCCAAGGATGCCGAGAATGTCACCTATAACCTTCTTCGACCGAGATTTTCATGGTGACAACCCCGTCCAAGATGACCCCATGGTGATTTCGGTCGAAATGCACAACTACATTGTGAAGAAAACATTGGTCGACCAGCGAAGCTCAGCCGACATCTTGTATTGGAACACTTTTATGCAGCTAGGGATTCCGGAGGAAAGCCTGGAACCGTATCACGAGCCGCTAGTAGGATTCTCTGGCGAAAGAGTGATGACGAGAGGGTGCATTGACTTGTACACTCGCTTTGGTTTCGACCAAAAGTCATCCCGAGAAATCAAAATCTGTTATATCGTGGTGCATGCGAATACGTCCTATAATATCCTACTAGGTCGACCCTCTATCAATACGCTGAGAGCCATCGTCTCGACCCCTGACCTGTGCATGAAGTTCCCGTCGAGAGATGGACAGGTAATAACCGTTCACGCTGATCAGAAGACAACGAGAGAATGTTACCTCTCCAGCTTGAAGGTCCGACCCATAGCCGACCCCCCGTTGACAGCGAAAGGTGTGAACGTAATAAGACAGGAGATGATGGAGGGCTTGGACCTCGACCCTCGCTTAGGTGAGGAAGAGCGAATCGAGCCGGCCGAGGACCTCGTTCCTTTTCAACTCGGGCGGAAACCCGAACAGGTCACCCACATGGGATCCCAACTGAGTGCAGGCGATTCAAACCAGGTGAAACGAGCGGTTCGAGACAATAAAGACTTGTTCGCATGGACGACATCTGACATGCCGGGAATAGATCCCAAATTCCTTTGTCATCGACTGGCCTTGTGTCGAGGCGCCCGACCAGTAGCACAAAAGAAAAGAAAGATGGGCGATGAGAAGAGGAAGGTTGCCGATGCCGAGGTGAAAAAATTGTTACAGGCTAAATTCATAAGGGAGGTCACGTACACAACCTGGCTAGCTAATGTGGTTCTGGTCAAAAAGTCAAACGAAAAGTGGAGAATGTGCACCGACTACACCGACCTCAATAAAGCCTGCCCTAAGGACGCCTATCCACTCCCTTGCATCGACCGACTTGTCGACGGTGCATCCGGGCACTCCATCTTCAGCTTTCTCGACGCCTATTCTGGCTACAACCAGATAAAGATGCACCCGGGCGATGAGGAGAAGATGACATTCATCACCGAGAACGCCAACTTTTGCTACCAAGTCATGCCGTTTGGACTGAAGAATACCGGGGTGACCTACCAAAGGTTAATGGACAAAGTGTTTCAGGGTCAAATCGACCGAAACATCAAGATTTATGTGGATGACATGGTGGTCACACCACAAAAAAAAAGCTATTTATCGGAGGTTATTTTATGGGGGTTTTAAAAACCCCCTCAAATTAACATGAGTTGTGGCGTTTTGGAGGAACGCTTAAAATTGGGAAAATACCGGCGGTTTATATCATTTTTTGAGGAGGTTTATGCCCTCCCAAATTCAGATATAATTTTTCCCGGAAAAATATTCACCACTTTCCCCCTTTTATTTTTCACCCACAATGTTTTTTTCACCCAATCCCTCCTTCAGTCACCACATTTTCCTTTTATCACTTTGTGCCTCCCATCCTCGTGCACCATCGCTCCTCCTATCTGCATGCACCTCTCCTCTTCTCCTCTGTAGACGAAGACGGTAGGGCCAATCTCCCTCCTTTTCGCATTTCCGAAGACATTCTTGGTTGGTTTCTTGACTATTTCTCTTGCCCTCGCTTCTGGCATTTCAGGTTCGATTCAATGTGGTAGTTGTTTACTCTTCGTTTCCTCTAAAAAGTTGTCACAACCTCTGTTCAGAAATAGTGGAAGGAGTTTGAGTACATCGTGGGCATTGCAAGGGAAGTATCGTAAATGGTGAGGATCCTAATAACTTTAATGAAATCTTTAAATTGATTGGATTCTTGTATGAATGTTGCTTTTGGTTAGCTTCTGTATGGTATGGATGGAATTTGTGTTTAGGGTTTTCCAGCGCCAACTTGGATAAGTATTTTCTCCTATAGTTTATCTTTCAAAAAGGGCACTCGTTTCCCTGTTAGCAAACTGAAAGCAATATAATAGAGAAATATGCGAGATGAAACGATGTTGAATTTTTTCTCAATGCACCACTCATGCACCTGTTCAATTGGATTTTTTTGTTGGAAATTGAAATTGAAAATACTATCTTGGCATATGAGATATGTTAATGACAATAAATTATTGATATATTATGTAATACTACACTATAACATATAACTTGTTTCTTATAAAAAAGATAAGAAGTATTAGTAACTTTTATGCATCTTTTGAATTTTTTAATCTTGATTCTGAGGATTGAGAACAATAAGGAACGAAGGGTATACTGATTTTTGACTTACTGGGATTTAAATCAGAGCATAAGATAATTTCAAAACTCATTCTCATAAGTTTTTTCGAAGTTATTTTACAATATAATAATTGCTAATTCCTAATATGGATCTATCTCTCTGAGTCTTCTAAGTCGGTTGACCTTGCCTTGTTCAAGTTGTTTTTGATATTCCCCACTCGGCCGAGTGTAGGCCAAAGCATATGCTTAGATGAGAAGAAGTAAGGGTAGAAGTATGAACAGAGGAATAGAGAGGTATCTTCAACTCCTCTAACAGGAGAAATAAAGAAAACAAAATTAGAACTGAATAAACGAAACCCCCATGGCATCGACAAACGATAGATGTTGCATCTCTGCAGGGGTTGTCCAAAATCACGAGGTCATCATTAGAGCGAAAGTGAGGGTCTAATTTCGCCAAAAGAATCTAAACATTAGTTACCTTCATGAAAAGAATGAGTCAAATGAATGTTCCTCTCCTTCTTTACAAGGTTCGATATGTTTCCAACAATGGTAGCATAATAGTGAAAAGGTAGAATTATGATTCATTACCCAACTTTAATATTTTTGTGAAAAAATGGCAAAGTTGTGAAGTGATAACTCGACTAGCCCAATGTTTTTTTTTTTTTTTTTAACATTAAAGTAATATCTTTATGTTAAAATAATATTTTTTTATAACTTTTTAATGAAAGAAATAAAAAAGTCAAACTTTAAAACATGTCTTCTATTTTATTTTTTAAAAAGATAGAATCTATGTTTGTGAAACAGGACTTGCATTTTAAAAGTAGTGTTTTCACATACATAACTTACTCTACTTAGATAATTTTATTTAAAAAATCACCCTTTTTGAAAATTTTTGAGAAAAACTCCTTGTCCATTCTCAAATGATTTTGATTTAGTATCATATGCATATGAGATGAAAAATTAAGAGTTTATTTGAATATAAATTTAAAAATATTTTGAGAGATTCTCTATTAAAAAATACTTTTTTTTTTTCCGAGCTCCGAAGCCTGAACCAAACTTACGTGTCGTCAACTCCCACTCTCCAAGAGGAGTCGGCATATCATGCCCCAACTGACCATGTGACCCGAACACCAGTCACCTCATTGACAGGCAACAAGGTCGACACCATCACTCACTCCTTAAGGCATCCTTTCTCTCGAAGGATAATGGAGGCAACCCTGTTGGACCATTGGAAGAGCCTTCCAATCAAGAAATATGATGGGACAACCGACCTCGAGGAGCACTTGAACGTATTCCTTACACAAGCGACCCTCTCAACCCAAGACGACTCGGCCTTGTGCCGAATATTCCCCACGTCGTTGAAAGGGAGGGCTCTGAGAGCTGGTTTACGAGATTGCTGAGCGCTTCCATTGATTCGTTTGGCGAGCTTTCATCCCAATTCACTCTTCAATTCGCGACGAGCAAACCGTATAAGACGACCTCGTTAGCCTTAGCGGGGGTTCGTCAAGAGAAGAAGGAAAGTATGAGAAGTTTCATGGACCGATTCAACAAGATTGCCATGGAGATAGGCGAACTTAACCCGGCCGTGGCGTTGGACCGGCTGAGCACCGCCCTGAGGCCTGGACCATTTGTAAATAGCTTGTGCAAGAAATCGCCAGTTGATATGAACGATCTCCGGCGCCAAGCCGAGAAGTATATGCAAATGGAGGAACTTGCAGAGACCCGAAACCATGCCAGGGTCGAAGAGAATTATAGCCGAAAAGAATCCGGCCGAGAGTCGGTGAGAAAGACGAATGTCGAGCCCTCGAATACTCGCCCCCCGAGAGGACCGCGCTACACAGCATATACTCCCCTCAACTCAAGTAGGGCCAAGGTAATGGAGCAGGCCCTCGCATCAGAGATCCTTACGATGTCGAAAAGAGCGAACACACCCCCTAGAGCAGACAAAGCCAAAACATGCCGATTCCACCGAAACAGGGGGCACTCTACTGAAGAATGTTCGGCGTTGAAAGACAAGCTCGAGGACCTTATCAAACAGGGTCACCTCGGGAACTTCATCACCTCCCAAGACCACCAATCAAGGAGAGATCATCGCTATTGGGAGGCACCACCGCCGAGAGACCGACGTCGCCGATCCCGATCACCTGAAAGGAGGGAAAATTCGGAGCACTCACGGGAAGATACCGACCGACCAAGGAAGGTGATAAACACCATCGCCGGAGGCTTCGCCAGAGGCGGATCCACCTCTTAAGCACGAAAGAGACACCTCCGAGCCGTACGGTCAGTGAACAGTGTGAACCAGCCAAGGATGCCGAGAATGTCACCTATAACCTTCTTCGACCGAGATTTTCATGGTGACAACCCCGTCCAAGATGACCCCATGGTGATTTCGGTCGAAATGCACAACTACATTGTGAAGAAAACATTGGTCGACCAGCGAAGCTCAGCCGACATCTTGTATTGGAACACTTTTATGCAGCTAGGGATTCCGGAGGAAAGCCTGGAACCGTATCACGAGCCGCTAGTAGGATTCTCTGGCGAAAGAGTGATGACGAGAGGGTGCATTGACTTGTACACTCGCTTTGGTTTCGACCAAAAGTCATCCCGAGAAATCAAAATCTGTTATATCGTGGTGCATGCGAATACGTCCTATAATTATAAAATATATTGTAAAATAAAAAAATAAAAAAACATTCAGATTGAGGAGGTCAAAAACCCCCGCTAAACAATGGAATTTGGATTATGTTATGAGTACCTCCTTATTTTTTTGTATACAGGTTAAATGTAATTTAGATTAAAATATAAAATATATTGTAAAATAAAAAAATAAAAAAACATTCAGATTGAGGAGGTCAAAAACCCCCGCTAAACAAAACACCGCAGAATGGAAAAAGGTAGCGGAGGTTGGTAAAAATCGTCGTATAATGCTAGTGGCGAACGTAACTGCGGCGTTTTTTTAAAAAGCCATTATTTATTTTGAGGGGGGCGTAAACCGCCGCAATATGAAAAAAAAATTGCCGCAAAATGATGAATTTGTTGTAGTGTCAAGTCCAATTCCCTGACCGACCACATAGCTGACCTAGCCAAAATCTTCAGTGAACTACGCAAGCACAACAACTCAACCCTGAGAAGTGCACCTTCGGGGTCAAGGGAGGCAAGTTTCTAGGATTTATGCTCTCAGCAAGAGGGATAGAAGCAAACTGAGACAAGTGTCAGGGAGGTTGGTCGCCTTGTCCCGATTCCTCCCTCGTTTGGCCGACAAGATTAGCTCGATGACGAAGCTTTTACGCAAGGCTTCGGTATTCTCGTGGAACGAACCATGTGAAGAAGCCTTTGCAACATTGAAAACAACCTTGGCGACGCCGCCGACCCTCACGAGACCTGATCCTCTGAGCCCACTACTCGTGTATTTGGCCGTTTCCGAGGAGGCAATCAGCTCGGTTTTGGTGCAAGAAAAAGAAGGCACCCAAGCTCCTATATATTTCGTCAGCCGACTCCTACAAGATTCCGAAACCCGATACCAGTTGATAGAAAAGGTGGCGTTTGGCTTAGTGCACACTTCCCAACGCCTACGACATTATTTCCAAAGCCACCGAGTAGTGGTCCACACCGATTGCCCGATCTCAAAGGTCTTGGGCAAGCCTGAACTCGTCGAAAGAATGATGGCCTGGTCGATGAAGCTCTCACAATTCGACATCACCTTCAAACTGAGAGGACCGATCAAAGCTCAATGCCTGGCCGACTTCATGAACGAGCTCCATCCTCACGGCCAATTCGAAGAGTATTGGTGGACCCTCCACGTGGACGGTTCCTCAAATTGCCGGGGAAGCAGAGCAGGAGTAATTTTGGAAGGACCCAAGGGGATAGTTTTGGAACAATCCCTCCGCTTTCGGTTCAAGGCTTCAAACAACCAAGCCGAGTATGAAGCCCTATTGGCCGGACTCAGACTAGCCGAAGACATGGGTGCTTCGAGAATCAAATGCTTGACCGATTCCAAGGTTGTGGCCGAGCAAGTAGGCGGCAGCTTCCAAGTAAAATATCACAACATGATGAAGTACTACCATGCCTATCAAAAGTTGAAGGCAAACTTTCAAGAGGTGTTGGTCGAGCACATCCCGCGCGAGGACAACATTCGAGCAGATCAGTTGGCCAGGTTGGCCGCGACCAAGAAGCCAGGCCAACTAAGAACCATAATTCAGCAGGGTACCGACCACCCCGGCCAGAGTGACCCGCCCGACTGGCGGGACGAAATCAAGGCATTCATCACCAATGGTGTCGCCCTGGCCGATCCGACCGAGGTCAAAAGGTTGAGAAAACAAGCCAACAGATATGTCGTCAATGTCAATCTATTATACAGGCGTGGCTTCTCCACTCCACTACTCAAGTGCCTAGGCCCCACCGAGGCCAATTACGTGATACGAGAAGTCCACAAGGGAATTGGTGGAATGCACTCAGGAGCGAGAACAACCACTCAAAACTCCTACGAGCCAGATACTATTGGCCGACCATGAACACCGATTGCGAAATGTTTGTGAAGAAGTGTCAACCATGTCAGAAACACGGCAACCTGATCCACCAACCGTCCGAGTAGCTACATTGTATTCCTCCCTCATGGCCATTCGCCACTTGGGGGGCCAACATACTCGGACCTTTCCCGGTTGCCAAGGGGCAATGCAAGTTCCTCATCGTCGCTGTGGACCTTTTCACTAAATGGATTGAAGCCGAGCCCTTCGCATGCATCTCAGCTCATCAAGTCCAAAAATTCGTGTGAAGGAATATTATCACCTGGTTCGGTGTCCCACATACCCTGGTGACCGACAATGGCCTTTAATTCACCGACTGGAAACTCAAGTAGTTCCTAGTCGGCCTAGGAATACAACACAAGGTCATATCGGTCGAGCACCCTCAAATGAACGGCCAAGCCGAATCCGCCAACAAGGTCATCCTGACAGAGTTGAAGAAGCGGCTAGGAGAAGCAAAGGGAGCATGGGCCGAGCAGTTGCCCGAGGTGCTTTGGGCCTACAGATGCACGCTCCAGTCGACCATGCAAGAAACCCCCTTCCGATTAGTCTACGGGTCCAACGCGATGATCCTAGTGGAAATTGGGGAGCCTTCATTTCGCCGAGCCCACTTCGACGAGTCAAATAATGGAGCCGAGCTCCGTGTAAACCTGGATATCATGGAAAACATTCAAGACCGAGCACAAGTCGTGGCCGAGGCCACCAAGCAACGCTACAAGAGAAGATTCGACAGCAAGGTGAAGCCTAGAGAATTCTGAGAGGGAGACCTTGTTTGGAGAGCCACAAGCGAGGCGAGAAAAGATCCGAGACAAGAAAAACTTGCCCCAAATTGGGACGGACCTTTCCGAGTACGACACAACCTAAATAACGGGGCATACAAGCTAGAGTATCTATCAGGAGAACCAATTCCGAGAACTTGGAACTCCTCACATTTAAAAGTGTATTATAGCTGATGTATTAGTGCACTCTTTTCCTTGACCGACTCTTTTTTCCCTAAGGAGGGTTTTGGGTCGGAAAGGTTTTTAACAAGGCACTTCATTAATAAAAGATTTTCAAATTTCATCATACCTTTTCCTGTTTTATTATATGTCTAGGTCGCGCTCTTGCAGGTCCACTAGCATAACATGCCGATGCCGAGCAATCCTCGGCTGACCACTAAAATGGCGCACTCGAGCCCTACAGGTTTCCCTCCCGAGTACCCTCCTCGGCTAAGGATGAACCTAGGCCGAGCACTATGACACGCGACGACACCGAGCAATCCTCGGTCAATAATTCAAAATAGCTCACTCGAGCCCTACAGGTTTCCCTCCCGAGTACCCTCCTCGACTAAGGATGCACCTAGGCCGAGCTTTATGACATACGACGACACCGAGTAATCCTCGGTCTATAATTCAAACTAGCACAATCGAGCCCTACAAGTTTCCCTCCCGAGTACCCTCCTCGGCTAAGGATGCACCTAGGCCGAGCTCTATGACATATGACGACACCGAGCAATCCTCAGTCTATAATTCAAACTAGTGCACTCGAGCCCTCCAGGTTTCCCTCCCGAGTACCCTCCTCGGCTAAGAATGCACCTAGGCCGAGCACTATGACACGTGACTCTCGTGCGCTCCATACTTCGCGTATCAAGTTGCTAAATCTAATTTCGCGGCCGAACACGTACGAACCGACCACTCTCTATCCAAGAACTCTCGTGCGCTCCACACCTCATATCAAATCGCTAATTTTGTGGCTGAACACGTTTAAACCAAACTCCTCGCACCTCGCACTATCATGCAATCAAGCACACCACGCACGCGCCGATTATTAACTAATTCTCATAACTTACCCCCCTCTGCCGAACACACAAGTCGATTTATGTCTATACTACTAGGGGTTAATAAACATGGAGAAATTGGAAAGCAAAATATTCATTGAAAAGTATGGCCGACTCGAACGGCTACTTACACAAAAAAATCATATAGGCACCGGCGCCAACGGCCAAATTACAAAAGGCACTAACGGCCCGGTTACAACAAAATCATAACCCTAATCTAATACTGCCAGGGCTGACCCCCTAAACTACTGCCGAGTCATCCGGGTTCCCATCGCCGACCACATCAATGATTGGCTCCTCCTCGGTCGGCGCCACCGGAGCCTGAAGGGAAATGTCGTGCGGAGGGGGCTCGGTGTCAGGCTGAGCTCCTTGTGGGAACTCGGCGTAGCTGATAAACTTGCCACCAAGGAAATCCCGACTCACATCGAAGTTAAAGTCGGCCGGGACGTCACAGAAGTGGTACGCCTGTCGGACGGCGTGTTGGAAGTCGGTGTCATGCTGGTCCAAAATTTTCTCAGTAGCCTCGGCCTTCAACTTAGCTTGAGCCTCGTTCAGCCAAGCAATTTCAGTCGCAGCAGTAGCGACCTCGGTTTTCATCTTTTGGACCGTCAACTTTAAGTCGTCGGCCTCCCTCCAATGGGCGTCGGCAGCCCTCTTCAACTCCTCGGCCGACTCTGTTGCCTTAGCATTGGCACTCAAGGCCTCCTTCAATGTGGCCTCGGCCTCCTTTAGTCGCCCCTGGAACCTTTCTTCCGAGACAACCGACCTCATCATAACATGTTTGGACACCAGCGAAGTCCGAGCATCAAGCTCACAGAAGAGCTTATACTCGGCCTCGGCGGACATACCTTTCAAATACTAAAGCCTGCCGCCGGTAGTGAGGTCCAAGCTGACCAAGTTCTTGGCCTGTACAGTTGGAGCAAGTAAGTTGGAACCGACAACAACTGGTGGAATCGCAAACGCACCACAACTTGGCTGCTCCAAGGTCGATTGCTTCATGCACTTAACAGAAGAGCTTGGCCGATCCAGCTCCACACTTTGCTCGGCCACACACACCTGGGACGTGCTTCCTTTCTTCTTGGAGTCGGCCAAAGGGATTAAGACACTTGAAGGTTTATCCCGTTGCAGCTACAAGGCCGACCTTGCCGGTGGCACCTTCCCACTGGCCTTCGCATCTTTTGCTCGTTTGGTGAGCATGGCAGTCACATCTAGGTCACCTCCGGCCATTAACCCTGCAACAAAGCAAATCATAACATCAATTCAAAACAATGGTATTCTACCGAAACCTAAGACACATACCTAGCAGGGCAATCTCAAAATGTGATGTTTCAAAAATATCAAGAAGGCCTCGGACAGGCAACCCTTTCGGCAACTTGTTAAGGAGCTCCACAATCTCTTGGTCCTCGGCAGGGAGCTTCGAAGCAGGCATCGCCTCGAAACGCGTCGGGCGCCTTGTCCAATAGAAGGGGAACAGTGGAGATCCCTCTCGGTCGTAAAAGTAGTTATTCATTTCCGACCCCCAACGAACTTTGAAGAAGCCGCTCTTAAACCCTTTATAGGAAGATCTGAAGGCTCGGAGGAACCCCCGCTTCGACACCCGAGCCAACGACACCCATTTTACCAGCTTGCTCAGTCGGCATATATAATAGTAGAGGAAGGCTAGTGGTCGGGGTGTGAGACCCAAACACAGACATAGGTTCTGAAATGCCTGCATTGCAGCCCAAGCGTTTGGATGCAGTCGGGTTGGCGCCACATTTAGTACTTGGAGTACCCCCATTTGAAAATCATCAAAGGGTAACTTTATGCCTAGGTCCTCGAACCAACACATGTAGGCGTAGAAGTAATCGTCTTCATCAGGCCCCGGCTCCAAGAACACGTAATCAGTGTCTGGTCCATCGTCCGCGCACGCTTCGGTAAGTAGCGGAAACTCGTCCTCCCCACTTCCAAAACACCTTTCAAGAGACACGAACGTGTCTAATAACCCTTGGTCGGATAACTTCGAGAAGTATATGCCGACCTCTCCGTCCACCCACCCATACCCGGGCATCTCCACTGTGCCGTAGTCAATCTTTGCCTTTGGCCGAGCACTCGGACCGGCCATGCCTTTGCCCCTCACATCGCCGAGTACCTCTAACTCATCTCCACTGGCTTCGGCGTGAATAGTTTGAGCACGTTGATTCTGCTGGTCGACCCGGCCTAAACCTCTAGCATCCACCTCGGTAGCTCGTCCCAAAGCCACAACCAAAGTCATAGGGGGCGACACCTCAACCACCTCATCCCCACTATCCTCCTTCTCGACAATGTCGGAGGGGAACACCACTTCACATTATAGCGGAGGCAACCTTGAAATCTCACTCGAACCTGACCCCTCTCTATCGGACGCGGCACCCGACGCCTCCGAGGACGTCCAGCTCCTGGCCGAGGAATAACCCCTATCGATTTATTACCAAGAATAAAGAATACAAAATTTACCTTTGATCGGTTTTCTCGGTCAAATCTGGTCTCGAGAGCGCTCGGGAAATTTACAGCAAGTAAATTTCCAAGCAGCCCCCCTATTTATAGGCAAGGTAAATGGGGGAGGTGAAAAGACGTCCTGAAACCGCAACCGTTCAATCTGGATCATCCAACGGTCCAGATTTAGTAATCGTCGGGCCTGTAACTACTAGGGCCAATGTGGCAGTCCGTACCCACCGAGGTCTCGGCGTAGGTTCCAACCGCTTGAGGTATCGGTGTAGACTTCATCCATTTAAGGCCTCGACATAGGTCTCATCCAACATAGGTCTCGACCTAGGATTCGTCCGGTCGAGATCTTGGTGTAAGTTCCTTACGTCTGAGGTCTCGGCATAGGCTTCATCAGTCCTTAACCACCGAGGTCTCGGCGTAGGCTCCAACCGCGGGGTTTCGCTGTAGGCTCCAACCGCGCGAGGTCTCGGCATAGGCTTCATCAGTCCTTACCCACCGAGGTCTCGGCGTAGGCTCCAACCGCGCGAGTTCTCGGCATAGGCTTCATCAGTCCATACCCACCGAGGTCTCGGCGTAGGTTCCAACCGCTTGAGTTTTCACTGTAGACTTCATCAGCCTAAGGCCTCGGCTCGTCCAGTCTAGGTCTCAACCTAGGATCCGTCTAGCCGAGGTCTAGGCATGGGTGCCTTCCGTCTAAGGTCTTGGTATAGGC